ATTACAACAGCTCCGATCTCCTGCAGCGCCTGCCACGGAAAGTCGAATTAAGAGCACGAGGATTCCCTCGTGCCACGAAAAGTGAGCACGAGAAAGCAGTCGAGAAAAGCTCTCGGGCCCAGCAGTTTGTGCGAGGCTGTGCAGTCGAAATGCACTTTCAAGATCTCCAGAGCCATGAGCCGTGAGCGCGCCATACATAGCAGCGAATTAGCTGGATCCCAAGCTATCGTGAGAACCCTTAGTGTGACCACAGGAAATCATCCGAATATCTGGTCAAAGCATAGCCTTTTGGCTCTTCGCATTGGCTAGCTCCACGAGGCGGCTCACAGTGTGTGTGCGTGTGCGCGTTAGCTGTGCGCCGGCGCAGGTCATCAAGCGCGCGGATGCCCATGCAATCTATCGTAGATGGACTTTTTGATACTACTAGGTCCTAGGTTTATATGTGTGTTTTGCAATGTGTTTCATTTTTGTTCTCAAATTTACAATCGAAATTATATTGTCTTAACCTAGTGGTTAACTATATATAGTATTTTATGTTCTCCCCCAAACTTGTTCCCCCATAAAATGTCGAACCTTCTCTTATAGAATAATGAAACCAACCCTCATGAGTCATAAAGATCATTTTGGCGGCCCGAAGCCAAAAATATATAAAGGTTGGTTCCAGAAAAGATGCGTTTTTTGTTGTATAAGTCTTAACGTTTTTTCCCGTAAAAAATATAAATCTTAAATTTACTTCAAGTCATTGTAAAAGGAATCGATGTCTTTTGGCAATCTGGCCAATGTACCAGTTTGCTGCGATGCAGTTTCTCAATTTAAATATATTTGTTTGCTTTTACATTCTTTTGTTGTTCCTTAAAACATGCTACAAAATGCCGAACGGCAGACCACTGAGAGTAAGGGGGACGTGATGTCTTTTTCTCTCAGGCGAGACCTTTCGAGTCTTTCTCCTCCAGTTCCCCCGTCATCCCGTGGACTGGTGCTTACGCGTCGACGCTCCCATCGACCTCCACGCCTTCCAACGGGCCGTGGACCGCTGCGTCGCTCAGCATTCGGCGCTCCGGACCTCGGAGACGCCGGACGAAGCGCTGCGCGACACCATGGACAAAGCGGCGGCCCTGTGGCAACTCTGGCGCGCGGTGGGGCGACGGTCGGACTGTTGGGAGCGAGTGATGGCTTCCGTGCCTTGGGAGAGGATGGTTTGCCATTTGGGCGAAGTGTTTGGCGGTTGGGTGTGGCTTAGATAGTGAATCGGAATGGGGAAAATAATGGAACTCTTATAGAATTATATACAGTAAGCAAATCGCCTCCAAGAGTTTCATCCTTCTCCACTTAGTGAGTGGTGTACATTCCACCCCCGCTTGGACCTCCTCGTCGTTTCATGTTTCAGACTCAACCTTGACACACCAAGGCCCTCTTCGCGCTCTGGCCCCGGACGCGTGTCGCGCGCAGCGAGGAAGCGCCCCGTTTGGAAGTACGGGTGCCTCCGTTGGTGGATGGTCGAGTGAGAGATCCTCGCTGGGATTGGGCGAGCCACGACCAGTACATCCACTCAGTTTTTGACGACCTTTTGAAGCCAAGGCGTTGGCCCTTTGATGTGGCCGTAGCCCCTTTGTTCCATGGAACAGCGGCTGGGCATAGTGCCATTGAAGCGGCCTTGTCCAAACCAGCTTCCGAGGTGGCCTGGTACATCTATTGCAGCATCACGCATGCATACTCTGATGGTCTTTCAGGCCAAGCCCTCTTTGCTGACTTATTGCGCTTCTACCACGAGGAGCGTGAAACTCAGGGTGGCCCTTCATCGGCTGCCAAGGAGGAACTGGGCCCAACACCAGAGCCTTTGGCACTGCTGCAGCGTAGGCTGTGGCGTTCACTTTGTAAGCCAGGAAACCTGCCAGAGCCCAATGATGACTTGTACCATGAATCCATTTGTGATGATTGGGGCAGGCGTGCTGGCCAGTCTCGTCGCATCTATTTTCACCCGAACGTCACCCGCACCTTGCGCCTCGCGGCTCGACATTGCTTTGGCTGTTCCGTGGACCTCGCATGGCTCACGGCCATCATGTGCACCATGTTTCGTTTGTTCCCGCAGCAGCCGCGCATGCTGTTGATTCTGAAGGCCTCCTGTCGTGATGGCCCTGGGCAAGGGCAGATGGTGGGTTTTCTCAGCGAGGCACGCCTCATTGCGGTTGATGCTGGCGATTTGGCCACGGCAAACATTTGGGAGGTGCATAAACTCATTGATTCTGCACGGCTTGCACGTGACTGGCGAGCACCAGAACCGTTCGAGTTTGGACTTTGTGTTCCTGGGCAGAGCATTTGGCATTGGACAGTCCTTGAGCTTTCACATTCTTCACCCCCAGAAACAGCAGCTCCTGTTTGGGAGGGAGCTGCCGTCCGTACTTGTAGTATATTTAGGGCATGCAGACGGAGCTACAGGAGTCCCCCAACCACTTGGAACGCACTTCTTGGCGGGATGCGGGCGTGGGTCCCCCAATCTCCCAGGTGGTGCGACCCTTGAGCTTTTGGGAGCCTTGAATGTTCGACCCGCTATGACCCACTAGACACCCATGGTTTTGGGGCATAGAGCGTCCCAGGGCTCAATCATTCTGTATCTTCAACAATGCCACGCCTATTTCTTGGCCTTTCAAAATGTTGAGTTGTTGCAGCCACTTGAACCCTAATAGAACCACGGGCAAAGGAAGGAGGCTCCGGAACTAGGTGGAAGATCGTAGAAGTTCCGTTGAATTTGAGAGATCTCCAGATCTCCACACTACTTCGGGTTTGTATGCTTGATCTTTTTCGCCGGGGTTATATGGGGTGTTCTATATCGTTTGACTTCTGAGTTCTGTTGGGTTTGGGTCGGGTTGGGATTATTTTTTACAATGAATGCTCTGAAAGGTGTTCCTTGTGTTGTTTTCCTTTTGTTTGCCACATCTTGATGTGAACACCGACAGGTTTATGTGAACATCGTCTCTGCAATGGTGGACAGCTTGCCACCGGGCTATCGTCACCTAGTGCGCGAGGCGGCTCCTCCCAGTCGGTGGTACTCCACTGCCTACAGCCACTTGAACTTGAGGACAGGTCCGTCATTCTCCCGCAGGTGCATGTGACCTTTTGAGAGTTAACATGTGGTATACAGTAGTAGGAGGATGTAGCTGTGTAGGGACAGGCTTGAACATGATTGAACAAGAACTTGTTGTAGACTCAGACGGTGGTCTTAACTTACCAAAGCCAAAGCTGAACACTCACCCCCGCATGTGTGAGTCTGAACTCACTCACTCTTGGGTACCTCAACGACCCCCAGGATTGATCAGCTCCAGCTGGATGATTGGGACTTCCGTATCTTCCACCACGATTCCGCTTGGGGCTGGGACTGGCCCACCAACTTCGCGCACGACCTGGCCGACACCGTGCGCCGCATGGCGCTCACCCCCACCGCGCCGGTCGTGGGCGACCTGGGGCCGGTGGAGAGGAGTGGAGCCGCGGAGACGGGGTCGTCCAAGCGGAGCGCGGAGATCGAGACGGTGGAGAGGGCGGCGAAGCTTCGGAGAAGGGGAGGGAATGAAGGGTGAAAAGAGTGCCGCCAGGAGGGAGCGAAGAACTCGGGGCGGCAACTTTACTAGAAGTGAGGATTCTTTGGGTGTTCTCGACCAGCGACATCTCTTGGGAGGGAATCATATATTTGCAAGGCTGCCAGGTTCGGCCAACTGCACGGGATTATCTCCTGGGTGTCTTCCCCCCAAGATCCAAGCTGCTGATCCTGGCGGCAAACGGCAGGGGCCGCGAAGAAAAGATGGAGGTTCATGATCTCAGTGGACGAAGAAAAGCCTTGAGGGTGTTCGATGGTTTTCACCTACTGGTGTGTCTTCTCCAATGGTCGTCATCGGGTCTTTTTCCCAGGTTGGGCCGCGTCCTTGTACTTTCTGGAGATGCTGTCACAGGCGCTTTCCGTTTGCTGCGCTGTTTTCCGGGCGCAGGGTATTGGCTGGTGTTCAGCTGCTCATCAGCGCTCATCGGGGTGCACACGGACCTTCAAGATTGGAGAGGTTGGTTGGAAGACACTGCGCCCTGCGGCGCAGGCTGGCTGGCAGACGGATCACTTCTCGGATAAGACTCTTGTGCATAATTTAGTGCTTAAACAGTGATGTCACAAGATGTCACTTGCCAGGTCGCACGCCCCAATAGCATGGCAATCCAAGCATGCTTGAAAGCATGTGAAGATGGACAAGGCGTGGATAATGTATGTTTCGAAGGACTTGCCAGCAGTATCCAAGATTTGTGCAATTCAGAGACATGCGCCACATTACTAAGAGAATACATCGGTTGCAAGATAATATTGCTGCTAAGATTGGATGGTTTCAAGTTGCCAACATCAGGATAGTCGTTGCCCCCTCCTTACTTCATAGTCGTTCCAGGTGCAACAGGGATACAATGTGTGCTCTCAACTCCCGAAGAAGACTATCACTGCAGCGCTGCAGTTTACGTGCTTGCTTGTGTCAGGATCGCTGTTGGTACACTCGGCCTGTTTGAACGTCGTTTTTCTGACAGATTTCAGGAGACCAATGCATGTGGAGTACGGACAAGGTGCCATTCAACTTGTACAATTGCAATCAGTTGTAGATGGAGCAGTTTGTGCGACAAAGCGTTGCATGCTCGCATGCCTGAGTAATTGAACCATGTAGATGTCGCATTTGCAGCACAAAGCAGCAAATGACACAAGTAGCACACGGACTAAAAACCTTCGTTACGGTTCAGGGCATAGATCCAGGTAGATGCACGAAATTGTGACCTTGTTGCCCCTGGCCACGCTTGCTCCACTGTACCACCCAAACACTTCCCCTCCAAAACAAAGCCGAACAGAGACGTGAAGCTCTGGGGCGCCATGAACCAGGACGAACAGCGACGAACGAGGTCATGGCTCAGGGAAGAAGAAGAAGAAGAAGAGGAGCAAGTGGTCCTGAATTTAGACCATTTCTCTGTAAGGCATGAGCACTTGGGAAGGGCCTTCATTGCTGTGTGATCACGAGAGAACCGATGCCATGGCTGCACCACATGCAGCGCACAATGGGACGACGCCCACAGAATTCCAGCAGCAGGCGACACAGAGATCGAGAGAAACAGACAGGCAAAAAGCATGTTCCGGACAGGCATGTGATACAAAGATCATCAAATGATCACAGCAAGCCCTCAGGAAGCTGCAACAAAAAGGACAGCCTCTTCTTTGATCTCTTTAGAACTGGGGCAAGGGGCGGACGCCCCTCCCTCGGGTACCTTCACCTCTTCCCGGAAGGCCGTCGCAGCTCCGACTCCGCGTCGGAAGGCCAAGGTCCAACAAGTGCTCCAATAAAGATCAATAAAGGTCCCTATATGCAATATATATTTATAGTATACATTGTATACATACATATATAATCATATATATATAAAACATCATATTTATAGGTCCCGCTTCCAAAAGGGGTCACCATGGGTCACCACCGATTTGAGAGGATACAGGTGCCCATACGGGTGCCCCCTACACCTCACCAGATGATCAGGTCTTCCTTCGATGTCCCACCCCATGGGGTGCTCCGGTCATAGCGCGTGGTCGTCGCAGGTGGTCCGGGACCTTCACTGGGTCATGGCTTCGCCACACTTGCTGCAGGAGAAAGCCAGACTGCTCGTGCAGTGCGTTCGGTAAAGCGGTAGACCTGTTGGGGATCCAGGTGGTTAGAAGCTTGAAGGTGAGGACGCTTGTGGACACTCAAGTTGACTCTTTGGCCCTCTGGGTGCTTTGGTCCGAGGTCAAGGTCCAAGGTGGCCAAGGGATCAAGAAAAACGAGCCAGAGATTCCAGAGAACCATGGGAAATAGTTAGCCTTAGAACTCACTCCAAAAGCCACTCAATAGATCTCAATAGATACTGTAATCGACTGACTTTTTAGACATGATTCTCAACACATGTTCATCGCTACAAGGATGCTACAGGTGGCTTTGCCCATCTAGTGACTCTAGTGGAAGGTGGTGTTATGGAAATCTGTTTCCACTGAGGAGTCTGCCAGTCTGCCAGTCTCAATAGTTTTTGCATGTTTTGGCGCTTGGTCCTGCAAGGAGAGCCAGAGCTTATCCATTTGGCCTGACGATCGGGGGCGCAAGTTAGCCGAGAGGAGCCGACGCTTGGATGAAATGGTCGCCAAAGAAAGAGCCCTTGCCGTGGCAAAACAATTGCTTTCGTGGGGTGTGCCGGCATCCTCGAAATCAAGTGGACATGTCGCTAAGGTTGACCATGCCCCCCTTGCTTTGCTGTCGCTCATCAAGTTGAGGCAATTGGAATAAACAGCTTCAGCGGCTTCCCTCTACATCCCTCTACCATTGACCTGCAGTGGAAGACATGACCCACTGCTGGGCAGAGCAGCCTGAACAATCTCCCACTCCAAATGAGGTTAGTTGCTGGGTAGCTTGCCTTCTTTCAGTGAGCTTGCCTTCCTTAGTTACTGGGCAGCTTGCTTTCCAAAGATCTAAGTGCATTTACCCTTGCCTTCTTTCGTAGTTGAGAGGCCAAAACTTCGTGGCAGCACATACTTTTCAGTCCGACGACTGGAACAAAGGTTGCAGTAGCCCCTGTTTTCATCGTTTGTCTCTTCAGCAAAGCAGTCCTTGCACAGTGAAATCACCGAAGCCCGCGGATTGTTTTGAGGGGATTGGCTGCTGCAGCTCGATTCGGACCCAAGTCCTCTACACGAGTGGCTGCTTGCGCAAGAAGATTTTCACAGGACAGCCAGCCAACACCATCCAACACCTGCATGCGACCAGTCGCCAGTTCAAGCCATAATATGTGGTTATTCGGAGTGTTGTTGTTATACTGTTTTTTGACGCCGTGGGACATGCAGAATGCTCAACGATCTCCCTTTCATTTCTGGAAGCCTTTAAAGAGTCAAAGAAACAGAGGGCGATCGAGAGAGAGAGAGAGAGAGATGTCCTCTCTGATCCAACTTTGACAACAGCACCACCAACCATGTTTTATTCATAGCAGATCATGGGCCGCGTTTGGACCACACAGGGGAAACTTCACGGTTCCGTGGCCGGATGTGTCAGTGCATTCGGCGTCGATTCACTCAAAGGTGCTAGAGGGAGTTGTAAGTGATTTTGACTTAGTTTCAATGATTCCCACGGTTTTCTGTATAATGTAGACTCTTGATTAGTAACACACACACACAGACACCCGTCGAATCCATGAGACCCCTGATTAATCAAAGGAAGTTTAGAAGGAACTTCCGTGTTACGGACATTCAACAGCTGTTCAACCACCACTCATCATACACCACTCATCAGATTTCGTGGCAGGTGCAGCAATTTGTGAACCTCCATGTGCAGATTTCGTGGCAGGTGCAATACAAAATGCGTTTTCGAGAGATAGCGCACGCACGAAATGCTGTATTTTTCAATAGAACCGGTGGCTTCGAACCTGGCAAGTCTAGCTCTGCGGAACGACTGTTGCGAGACGGTCTCGGGCCATGCTCGGTCGGCCGTCCATTGTGATTAGGTTTTCACTTGTCTCTTGAAGTGCAGATTTCGTGGCAGGCGCAGCACTTTGTGAACCTCCATGTGCAGATTTCGTGGCAGGCACAGC